ACTTGGGGCGAAGCTCAAACGTGCGGTGTTAATTAATGGCAACTGCGTCTATCTATCGGTGACGCCCTATCAATCTCGGCACAGCGCGCCGGCTAACATTTGTACGCATCATGGTACGTTTCACAAAAAAAAATAAGTTGTTAAAAACTTTATGCATACTCTAACGTGTTCAGTAAGAGATTATTCTTTTAGATTTTAGTAAGATTACAGTAATGTTTAATTTGATAAGATACATGTAATCCGATTTAATTTTAATTTGTATGCGAGCAAAAAATTCATATCCACTAGCGTTAACATTTAGATACTCACATAGAGTAAGTTTTTAATCTCTTTAATGTTTCATGAATCTTAATCTGACCATTATAACATTACTAACAACAGCTAACAAAAGACTAAGCCATGTAAGATAACGGGAGAGGCCAAATAAATCGTGACATGGTTCATAGCTCCTGCGTTTCAACCAGCTACTGTACTTAAGAAATTGTTAAAGCGTGAGCAAAATTAACTCATAAATGTCAAAACACAACAAGAATACAGTTTTATCATTATGTTTTCACATAAAGCTGTCTGAAGCAAGTAAGTTAAAAAAATTTACTAATTAATGTAATTTCATGGCTCATTATTAGTACTGTTGTACCCATAATTGTTCAATTTATATGTGCTAATACAATTACTATATCGTAGAAATTGAAGTTATTTTACTCCTTTGAAATTTAGTAACAGGAATGATTGTAAAAGGTAATGATGAAGTAAATGGAAATTTCAGCCACCTAGAATAAGAGATGTTAGTGCTCGTGAGAGAAGATATGCGAGGCCGAACATCTTCGCATCTTACATTGTAGTAATTAGAGTGCTTGTCATTCATTGTATGCTCTAATTGATAAGTGAATATTGCACTGACACGTTCGAGAGCCGTGGGAGAGACCTGCTCTACATTGCTGTACAAAGTCATCACATCACTACCAAAACATTTTAACACATCTTGAATCTTGACGTTCACACTAATTCACATCACACATTTTTAATAGTATAATTCAATATGTATGCTATATTTGAGCTATGAATTTACTATTAATCCTAATTGGATCCGCTGCGACAATAATCTTAGTTATATATGCTAATGTTAGATATCGATTTTTTGGCGAAGCTGCTAAAACTAATCATGCCAAACTTTCGGGTATCATGACTTCTGACCGATATAGTATGTCATAAAATTTGTAAATTTCCAAGCACATTCCAGCGTGAGCAGAAATGTCGACCGCGATATTGCGAACCGCCATTATCGTCGGTGAATTGGCGTGTTATATTCGTTTGGCGTGTCACATTATTAACAAATAAAGCTTGCCGCGGTCCATTGTTGACTTCGGTGTGACGAATCGGCTCGTTTCTTGCGTGAAACGTGCGTGACGTCACTGCGGCGTCGAACCGATAAAGGGCTGCAGTTTGAGACACCGAATTTTTTAATTCGATCCTCGTTAGTCTAACATGTTGACCGGATCGGAGGTCATTGTTCAAACTTTACGTCTTTTGTTATTTTATTAAAGCGTTTTGTCATGCATGCCTTCTAAACAACGTTGATATTTCGCTTTTGCAGGTTACTGTTTACCTTCTTTTGGTATTAGTTAGATAAATATTTAGTAGTCTAGAGTAGGCTATTACTATTACAATCGAACCAGAACATATTTTTAGTTCCAAAAGCAAATGTCACATTTTTAATAACATAAATGTATTCACAAGAAGCGCGGTCCGTTTGCAAATAAATGCAGGCAAAGATATATTTTAACTTCAATTGCGTTTTATTTATGAACTCGTATAATGCAGTTTATCGAATGCAAAGAAACAAGAAATGCATTGACGAATTTAATCAAAGAGAACAAGAGGAATAAATAATTCGGTGAAACTTGAATGTTACTGGAGTCGTTGATGTTCGTTTCTTATCTCTCTGTTACTGCAATTGTCGCCATGAACTTAAGTATATTTAAGTTTTTTGTTTGTGTCACCTTTACTTGGCGTAATAAATTGAATACTTGCATGTTCCTTTTTTATATGCTATATTTTATTTTATTTTTTGCGTCTACATACCAGTGTTATACGTTTTTTTTATTTATTACATGTTCTTTTTGTTTTGTTCTGTTTTTATAAAACTATGAAAGTGCATTGTTTTGAAACTTTCTAGTTTTAAAATATGATTTTGTTTAATTCGTCTTCGATGGATTTTGATTAAATTCTTAAGAAATAATCAAAGTAGAAATCTCTTCCATTTAAGGACAATAATCAGTATTTTAAGTGCCATTTGTATGGTGGTTTTTATGATCATTACACTGCAATGTGTAAATTGATCTGTTTCAATACGACAAAAAACTAAGTGAAATACATAGAAATGCCTAGGTCAGTTAAAGGCGGTCCAGACAGTGTGGCCGCTGATATCATCTACTCGTGACCGGAGCCCACGACTGCTACAATACTTCGATGGCTTCATTTTAACCTTACCTAGCCACAGGTCAGGAGTAAGAGAGGGTGGGGGCCGGCGCGGCCGCACATTATGCTAATTGTAATCCATTAATTATCATATAAACAGGGAGAACAAACGCACCTGTCATTCGTGATCGGACAGCCTTTTGAAATTTAACGCGCGATTAAAATTAAAGATAGAAGGTAACACGATAACCAGATAGATACATTTTTTATTGTAAAATTTGAAATTTGAAAATTCTTGCACTTCATTAATTTAACGAGGTTACATTCCATGAATTTGACAAGTGGACTTGACGGTTTAGTTTTTTTAAGCAAAATTCTATTTCAAAATCACGTTATCATCGCTTTTCTTATAGTTAATGTCACGCACCGGATAATTATTAGGGAATCTAGCATATCCATGAAGGTGTAGTTATAATGCAGCAATTGACTAATTGATTTCCTAAAAGCAAAAAAATATTTTTTTTAATCGTCATAATACTTAATATTCTATTTGAACATGTACATTGTTAACAGTGGTACTATAACTTATGTGCTGCAGGGTGGTCCGACATTTTCATAATTCATTAATTTTAAGTTGAAGCATTCAATATGAAAACCATATTCGGATATATTCCTTAGGCGTTTTTGAACTGCAAACGTGAGAAGAATAGCCACGTTACATTTACATAATGAGACTATTTATTTTTACGAGCTCATAACGGTGGCCAGTATTTTTGGCGCATATTAAAGTTCTTATTAACGTGATGCTTAAATTATTTTAATCGATTTCACATCTTGCAGTGAGTATTCGGCCAATAGTCTGTAACTTGACGATTATATTTCATTTGTATATAACGCAGAACAAATGACATTCGTTTCATGCCATATTTACCTTTATGACTTTCGATTAAGATCTTAATTTCCATGCAATATGACATGGAGGCGGGTGACAGCCGACGTTCACGTGACTCGAGTGCGTAATTGTTTATAATGTACGTAAATATTATTTTTGAATTCTACGGACTTAAAGTTATCGTACTATTTGAGTCTACTAAAACATGATCTTATTGGTCTATAATTGTATATTGTAAGAGTGTTGTCTATCTTAAATGGGCAGTAGACATTATGGTTTTATTTAAACACACCTAATAATACGGTGGAAGGAATATCAGGGAGGTAGTTTTGTTGGTGTTTTAGAAAATAACTTAGTGAAGTTCAATCGCGATATGCGAGAGTCGTGGAAGTGGGACCACACGGGGATGTCTCATTCGGGAGTCCGACTGGATATCTACGATCTCGCTCCTTTACCGGTTTTAATTATTTAACTTAAATTGCTTAGAGTCCACGCGTAAAAAAAAGATTCATCTAATTTCGACTCGAGCATTTTTAGATGACCTCTATTATTGATTGTTACGTATTTTTGTCTGGGATGTTTTAATGGTTGTTATTTGAATTGTTTCTTGATTTAAAAATTTTCGTTGGTAGTTCTTATAAATTTCAAGCATATTCAAATATGTAGCTTTATTATTTCTCATTCTGATACTAATATACAGTTTTAAATATATACTGAAGACTATGCTGTTGTGTTAATATTTTCTCAAAAATCCCCACCGTTATCAGACTTCGTTTGCTTTTTAAAATGTTAACTTCATAATCGTAACGTTAGTTGTTTCAATTTATGTAAATGCTTAGTAAATTATCTAGTACGTTATGATCATGGCATTCCTTTTTTAAACGTAATTGTTTCACAAAAACAATATGAGTTAATAATTAAATTTTAAACAATTTTAAGTTTTGTCTTATAAAAGATATTTCTTGAAATTTATTTTCGAATTGTACAAGACATATTAACAACTGTATTTACTTTGTTTGTAAAAAAAACTCTTGCCGTTAGTTGATTTAAAATAGTGAGTACTTGTATAGAAGTTGTTATGAGTGAAATAGCCTTGTGACAAAGTCTTGCATAAATTACTATGACACTCGTTATGTTGCTTTACATTCATTAGTACGTATCGGTCATTGACATTGAATACATCACCAGACCAGTTTGTTTGCTCTCGATTTTGATTTGTGTAATTATATAATGATAAACTATCTTTGTCAGTCCGTAAACTTTAACTATATTACACCTACGAGTTACTTGATTTCGCCCGCGAGCCCGTCCTCGAATAAAAAAAAAAACAAAAGTAAATAGTCTGTTTTCTTATAGACTATCCTCTACATCTATGCCAGATTTCATAGAGATACGTTAAGCAGTTTAGGATACAAACCCTACCAAACATCTATCTTGCCATTCATCTAAACTTTCGCCTTTACAATATTAGTAAGATTAACGATTTTCGTTATATTATCATTAAGAATTAACTCGATAATAAAATAAATAGACACGCAAAAAATGTATCATATTGAGCTATTTTTAGACAGAGTTCTTAAGGTAGGTATACCGCTCTGATTCACGTTGGTTAGCTGTCAATTTCGGTCCACATCTGCCGTTGCGTAGCTTAGATTGTTATATATAAATAAATTGTTTTGTTTTGTTACAGGTTATACGGTTCTAAGCGATGCGCTCGCTGCAACACACCGATCTCCGCGTCGGAGCTGGTGATGCGTGCCCGGGACCTCGTGTTCCACGTGCATTGCTTCTCCTGCGCTCTCTGCAGCACGCCTCTCACTAAAGGCGACACGTTCGGTATTAGAGAGTCTGCAGTGTATTGCAGGTGAGATTTAAAGCAGCATGACCAATGTACCAGTGGTAAATAGACTCATATTCTACTGTTTATTGAAATTGCATAATATTATTTTCTCTATCAGGAACAATGTATGTTATGTTTTATTTCTTTTTGCAGTCTGCATTATGAAACTATGCCGGACTACGTGCCTCACATGTCGGTCCCCGGACCTCCTCAAATGTGTCCTGGGCCTTACGGGGGGCCGCCACCGGGTTCACATTACCCACCGTA